ACATGGGGGGAAAAAATTTGGTTGAGCAAAAAAAGAAATAAAAACCACCCAAGACCCAGGGAAACCTGGGGGGAGGGGGCCTCGCCAATTTTGCTTGGACGTGTCCCTGGAGGTTTCATCTCGTGACGTCATCTTTAATTCACGATTAATCTTGAATTCCTGGAGCCTCCAGGACCACGCTGGCAGCCCTGGGGAAGGGAGGATCAGCCAGGGAGCATCCGAAGCCAACTCGGGACCCAGCTGTCACCACGGCAACCGGCCTCTAGAGCCCAGAGGTTTTTCCTACCGTTACTAAAGTGACAGGTACGTGAAGCCAGGGCAGGTGACGGGAGGGGCAGGCTGACTGCGAGCGCCGGGCGCTCCCGCTGCCACCAATCACAGCGCTGCTACGGATCCATCGGCACCTCCCGCACATTCTAAGGACGCAAGCGCCGGGAGCAAAACGACTCTGTCCCAGGAAACCGACTTGGTTACGACTGTCTTGCTGCCCCACTGAAATGACAGAGGGCCAGTCACTAGCCTCGGTTTCCCATGGCTGAGCTCTTTCACTCAAAATATTGAGGCTCCGGGGGCAGTTTGGGAGGATCGAGTTCAACACCCAAGAAAGCAGGCGTTATGTCCCCCTTCATCGCAGTCACCAGCACAGTGAGTGCGAGCGCACCGTGCTCTGGTTTATACCCTGCAGAGGGCTCCCATCATGCTCTGCTCTTAAAGAGGTATTCACACCTGCCAAATTCTGCTTTCTTTTCCCTCTGGGTAGTAGCCACTGCTGCAAGGAAGAAAGACAGAAAAGAGGATGCGGAACCAACAATCAGAGGGGCAGAAGAACGGCCTGGATCCTAGTCACCGTGGCTACGTCTACACTGGCATGAATTTCCGAAAATGCTTTTAACAGAAAAGTTTTCCGTTAAAAGCATTTTCGGAAAATTGCGTCTAGATTGGCAGGATGCTTTTCCGCAAAAGTACTTTTTGCGGAAAAGCGTCCGTGGCCAATCTAGACACGGTTTTCCGCAAAAAAGCCCCGATCGCCATTTTTGCGATCGGGGCTTTTCTGCGGAAAACAGTACTGTGCTGTCTACACTGGCCCTTTTGGGCAAAAGTCTTTCAGAAAAAGACTTTTGCCCGAACGGGAGCAGCATAGTTTTTCCGGAAAAGCACTGATGATTTTACATGAGATCGTCAGTGCTTTTCCGGAAATTCAAGTGGCTAGTGTAGACAGCTGGCAAGTTTTTCCGCAAAAGCAGCTGATTTTCCGGAAAAACTTGCCAGTCTAGACACAGCCGGGGTGTAAATCGTCCTTGCTTCATCCATGTCAACACCAATTTACATTTGCTAAGTATCCAGCCCACAGCCAGCCAATGGGGCAAAGATCAGTACCATTTCAGGGAGCCCAATCGGTGTGGGTATCAGGGCTAGGGCTGCAGCCTCCTTTGGCCACAGAGCATGGCGTGGTGAGACTGTTCTTGGTGCGTACTCTGCAGCAAGACGCTGTGGTCAGTGGCGTCCTCTTTGGTTGCGGTCGAGGGAACAAGGTGGAAAGCAAGCAGCCATCAAGTGGGCCTCAGGGTGACAATGCAAGAGGTGGCTGGCAGGGCTAGTGTTCGCTGGTGCTTTTTGGCACCCACGATGTTGGTACGCTTTGCGCCAGCCGGGCTATTGCATGCTGGGCTAGAAGAGCTTGTGTTGTAATTAGAATCAAAGGACGCGATTTTATAGCCAGGGGTCCCTGTAAGCTGAGCACTTGAGCAGCCCCCCAGGAGAGATTCAGGTGCTGCCCAGCTGATTAGCAGAGCACCCACAACCAGCAGCAGGTGTTTCTACTGGTGGTGCACATCTGCACGTGCCTCATAACAAAATTTATTCGGCACATGGGAAAATTCCGAAGGAACATTGGTCCTAGCCATAACCTGTCCAGGAGTTGGAGTATAAATCGGCCAGGAGGAGGAGAAAGAAAAATGGAAAGAGATTCCTACCCCATCATTCCCATGGGACATTTCCAACCAGGCTGGGAAATCAGCAGTCAAACCGAATGTTGGGAATCATTAAAAAAGGGATAGTGAATAAGACAGAATATCATATTGCCTCTGTATAAATCTATGGCATGCCCACATCTTGAATACTGCGTACAGCTGTGATTGCCTCATCTCAAAAAAAGCTATCTTGGCATTGCAAAAGGTTCAGAAAAGGGCAACAAAAATGATTAGGGATTTGGAACAGCTGCCATGTGAAGATAGATTAATAAAACTGGGACTTTTCAGCTTAGAAAAGAAAAGACTAAAGGGGGATATGATAGAGGTCTATAAAATCATGACTGGTGTGGAGAAAAGGAATTAAAAAATTATTTACTTGTTCCCACAAGAACTGAGGCTCACCAAATGAAATTAATATGTAGTAGGTTTAGAACAAACAAAAGGAAGTTTTTCTTTATACAACTCAGAGTCAACTTGTGGAACTCCTTGCCAGAGGATGTTGTGAGGACCAGGACTTTAACAGGGTTCAAAAAAGAGCTAGATAAATTCATGGAGGTTAGATCCATCAATGTCTATTAGCCAGGATGAGTAGGAATGGTGTCCCTGGACTCCATTTATCAGAGGCTGGGAACGGGTGACAGGAGAGGGATCACTTGATGATTCTCTGCTTCGTTCATTCCCTCTGGGGCACCTGCCATTGGCCACTGTCAGAAGACAGGACACTGGACTAGATGGACCTTTGGTCTGTCCCAGTCTGGCTGTTCTTATGTTCTTAGAAATGGCTCTGGGCAGCAGGATTATAATTTGGGGGGTTCCAGTAGCTCCCCACCCAAGAACAGGACCACAGTGCGCTTAGGGCCGTACAAAACCCCTTCCCCAAATAGCTCCCGGGCTACCAAAGAAAGGGTTACATTGTCCCCGCCACTCCGACGAGGAACTAATTAAGTGACTCACATGCACAGTGTGTGGCCCTGGGGAATGAGGCCACCTTCCTCTCACAAGGAAATAGCAATTAGAAATGGGGGGTGGGGGAGAAAACGATCCCTCCCCCCCCCATTGCTTCTCCCCCACAGCTCAGCACAGGCTTGCCCCCCCCCGTTGGCCAGCCCATGGCCCCACCTAGGTCTAAAGTGCCCCAGGCCACCATCATGTCTTGCTCTCTGTCCGTTGTCCAGCCCTTCCTTTCATTCCACCCTGGAACTGCTGTTGGGACTGGCCAGCTGTGAACCAGAGCCATAGCACTGAGTGCAGTCTAGCCCTGAAGTAGCATCAAACTCAGGGAACTGGGGCCAGCGTCACAGCGGTGGATCCAAACTCGCTCTGGCTTGGGCGGGTGACAGGCCCATGCTGACCTCCTATGCACTTCCACCTTGTCATCTTGAGACCACAGCCCTTTCCCACCTCCCCACTCGCAGCAAGATCTCACCATATGCGTTGCTGCCAGAGCTGTGTAAAAAGGAATCTAGACTCCGGGAGCGGGCTGGCGGCGCTGGGGAATTCCAGTGATGCTCGGCTAATCCCCGGGAAGGACCAGGACAAGGCGCACGAGCATCAAACGTTTATTAGAGAGAGATGGGTGGGGAGGACGTTGTATTCCAGGAAGGACCCAATGCTGCGCAGACCCGCCTGAGAGAGGCTTGTGTACTGTTTCCTTTTTAATAAAATATTAACAAATAAATACTCAGGAAAAGCCGCAACTACAGCGAGAGGAGAGAGAGAAAGCACAAGACCCTACAGGGGAAGAAGAATGCATCTCAGGTAGATAACAAGGTTTTTTTCCTACGAGAATATGAAAAAATATTCTGTATAAAATAAAACCAAAGCCAGTTAAAAAGAAAGCCCTTTCTACTTTTCATCTTGAAACTTTCAACTGTTTTTGTCCAGAAGGATGTGATGGGGGAGGGGAGGGGAGTGTCAGAAGGGTGAATTACCCCGTCCACAAGCCTATGCATAAAATCACACATCATGTTGATTACAAACCCCAGCTTTCCAAAGGACCAGTTTATATGAACCAAGTCAATGAAGAACAAGTCCCTTCCCTTCTGATAGCTGGGAATCGCTTTGCAGTAGTTTGCAGGACAACAAGAACGCAATAATGACGGTGCTTGAAGGGGCGTAAGACCAACCAAAAATGTTTTTTTAAATTAATGGAGACTGCCTATCTCCTAGATCCAGAAGGGAAGATCATCAAGCCCAGTCCCCTGCCTTCACAGCAGGATCAAGTACCACCCTTGACAAATTTTCCCCCCAAATGGCCTCCACAAGGATTGAACTCATAAGCTACATTTAGCAGGCCAATGCTCAAACCACGAAGCTATCCCTCTGTTTAATTGAACAGGGTCATGAAGGGGGCTCACTTTAAGTACTGTCTTACCAAAGCTGCTGCTCCCAGGTTAAGAAAGATGCCACATGCAAGTTTTTGTAGGTCTCTTTCAGATGGAGGTGCCTTACACTACACTGAAACGTATGCACCATCCCTAGAGTCAAGGGTATGTCTAGACTGCAGGAGGCATAAGGGATCTGTCAAAAAAGGCTTTCTTTCTCGACCGATCTCCCTCTAGACTGCCGCTTTTTGGCCGACAAAGAGCTGTCGGCAAAAACAGTGGCCATTTTTATGCAAATTAGGCACAGGATAGTTAAATCCCCACTTCATTTGCAATGTTGACCTGCCTACTCTGCATGCAGTCTAGACATTGGAGATGTTCTGTTTTACAAACTATTCCATTTTATGGATTCCTCAATCTCAAATTAGTTTATTAACTAGGGCATAAGTTCCCAAACTGGGGGGGCGTGAAGAAATTCCAGGGGGGCGCGAGGCGACCCAGCCTCCCTCCCCCCCCATCAAGTTTTGCTGCCCTGTTCAGTTCTTTTTTCCCTTTTTTTGCTCAACAAGTTTTGCTGCTATTGGGGGGAGGGCGTGAGGGTTTTTCAAAAATCAAAAAGGAGGGAGTCCTGCATTTTGCTTCAAAAAGGAGGGAGTGATACCAAAAAGTCTGGGAACCACTGAACCTCTGTCACATGAAAAAAATATGAAATGAATGATTTTTCCCTAAAAATTGGCCATTTAAAAAAAAGACCATTTCTTGACAGCAACAAACAAAAACCCACCCTTTTTGTTCTCACACTGTTAACCAGGTGTAGCAGAGGCCCTGCTAAAATCACAGGCGGCCCAGCTGTCATGTGCCTCTGAAGACAAGCCTGGCTCAAAGGCAATGCACCCATTCCCACGCCACTGCTCCATTTTGCATGGCGTTTCGGTGGCGCATTTAAAACAATACACGATCACTGAAATGCACCCATGGGGACGTTTCCCGCCCGCTGTGCATGTAGGCATTTTAATGCCGTGGACCTGGTCATGGACAGAAGAAATGTGAGGTGTTACTGAAAAATGATTATTTTAATGAAAACCTCAAAGTTGTCTCTGTTAATAGTTTTCACAGGGAAAAATAAAACCCATCCCATGTAGCTCCTGGTACCAATCAGTGTAAATTGGTCACAGGGGGAACTTAACCCAGGAACCTGAGAATTTAAGGGAGCTGTTCAGGGTAGGTTACACGGGGCTTTGTGCACGGGGGTGAATTCCACCCGGAGGTGGGGGGAGATGAAAATCAGTTCTCCTTTTGCCCACTGTTCAAGTACATTCCGAGCACGTCACTTACAGCCCAGGAAACTGTGGATCCTGCCCTCGTTTAGAAAGATCTCTGGCCTCTGTGGCAGGTGGCTGCTACACTGTTCGTCCCACGGGAGCCACAATTTTTGTCTACATGGGAAAGTTGCCCCCTGCCTGAGGACGCTCTTATTCCGGCTAGAGAGCATCCACAAAGGGGTTTGCGCCAGGTGAAATTCTCCCTTCTAGTTAAGCCTGTGCAACTGTCAGAGGATCTCCCCGGATGGTGTGCAGCTGGCAGGGGGGGCGGGGAGGGCTCTCCACCAGCCCTGCTCCGGAGAATGAGGAATCAGGCGTGCGACCAGAGAGCACTGCACTACAGAGTGCCACGCCGTACATCTGGGAGAACCCAGGGAGCAGAGCACAGTGAAGAGCAACCCCGTGGCTGCTCTAACTTACATCAAGCGCTGGGGAAAGCACTGGAACAGGAGGAGGGCAAAGCTACATTACCCCGTCCCCTCCCCAGCCCTCTGCCAAGTGCAGGGACTGAATAACTCCAAATCAGGCCTTGGGAACAACGCTGCCAGACATGCACCTGCATGTCAGAACTGCCGAACATTTTGGCAGCTGTTGGATAAATCCATGGGCGGAGGGAACGCCAATGGATTTCAAGGCATTTGCGGCCCTCCTTGTCTTAACCTGGCCCAGCTCATGCAGAACTTGCAAATCAGGACCCTCCGCCCAGCAAATCCCAGGCTGCCAAGTCACAGCTTGATCCCCGTGACTTCAGGGGGAACGCTGGGTCTGCTCGGGCACACAAGCCTGATCCAAAGCTGGCAGCACGTTGGCTTTGGCTCAGGGCCATCTCCCAGCAGAGCACAGACGGGCATTCTCCAGAACCCTCTGAGAACTGGCTACGTGAGGGGGTCCTTCCCCAGCCGGGGGCAGACGAGGCAACCCCCCCATCACAGGGAGTTACAGCTTCATTAGCATCACCTGTGCCTGAGGTGGAGGCGGATACACTGTGCCCCTCAGTCACCTGCTTGGACAAGAGGCTAGGAGGAGTCCGCATTGTTCTGTGGGTGGCCTTAAGCCATCGGCGCATGGACAACGAGAGTCTGTAATAGGGGCAGGCAGGAGGTGAGGGAAGGAGATCAGCTGATAGCGGAATGGGAAGTGGAGCAGCGCCGCTGGTCTGCATCATGTAAACGGGGTATTCTGGAGTCCGGCGGAGTGGTTACAAAGGTCGGCGGAGAGGCTGAATTCGGCAAGTGGGGCAGGGCCAGGAGTACCAGCTGCTGCCTGGCGAGCGGATCACTCCCTGACGTAGATCCTTGTGCAGACCACGTCGTCGGCTGTCATGGTCTGGAAGAGCAAGAAGGGGAATGGATGAGGGGAGCAGACACCAGAGAGGACGGTTTAGTGCTGGGTCCCAGAGGGTCTGTCTGCACTGCAGCGTTCCAGCCCAGACCCCCTCTTCCAGCCACACACCAATCCCTCTGACTCAGGCCAGCTAAGCAAAGCGGGATTTGGGTGCAAAGTCCACCGTTTTGCAGAGGGTGGGGGCTTGCCAGACTAGTGTCCTAGGAATCCAACACCATCCCATGGGCCCAACTAGCCAACTGACCCCAGGAAACAGGCAGCCCCCTGGTTCAAGTACATCGGCTCAGTGTTACGCCCTGCCCTGTTGTTCCCACAGCAGACTCGCAGGCAGATTCTCAGCACCCCATGGGCCAGACCCTCGAAGGATTTTAGACTCCTAATGTCCACTGAAGGCAACGGGAGCTGGGTGCTTAAAAATCTGTCACGCCAGCTGGGAGTTCTGTCTGGACTCCTGCACGGCTAATTGCTGGCCCCCACACCAGCATGGGCCCGGCAAAGCCACGACACACGGCGCTTTGCAGCAGCGCTGCGGCGTATCCCGCTCCGAAGCAGCCGGGCTCCCTCCTGCCGGGGCGCTGCTGGTCTGTACTGGGAAGGTGAAGCGCCGTGGCTTCGCAAATGGCTGGAACCGGGGCAAATTGCCGCCACAGGTCAAGCTGTGAGTGGCTCTTGTTTGCTCTCCTGAGGGCGGGTGTGAACAAACCCACCCTGCCCTGTCACCTCTACACCTCAGGCAGCTATTTACACCAGTGCCAGCTGGGAGCTGCGGGTGTAAACGACTGCACGAGGGGCAAAGTACTGGAATCAGGCCCCGCCCCTCGCCCAAAGTCCTGTCCCAGCATGCCCTGGGCTGAGCGCGACCCCTGGGGTAGAGTCTCTGAGGGGGAAGCTGCTGGAAAGCCCTGGTGGTTTGCAATGTAAACAGGACCCTCTCCCAGTAAAACCAGTTTCACTGGGCCACCTCCTTCCCAGAATGCTTTGCTTCAGACGATGCGGTACCCTGGCCACTCTCTTGAGGCACTAGGGAATCCCTGCCCAGATTTTCCCAGAATGCACCTGGCAGGCAGCCGCCCCACACACATGGGGTGGCTCATAGTTGCGGCCATCTGGCCCCTGCTTAGAAGCTGGTTACAAAACACCATTGCCGCTGGAGTGTAGACAGGGGCATCCGCTCCGTGGGCAGCCCTTGCGTTCCCTCCCAGCGGGCGCGTAGCAACCCTGCGCCAGAAAGCAAAGAGGAGTCAGGGCCACGGGGCGTGGGGTTAACCCTTGGCATGCCGGGGCCAGCCTACCAGAATGAGCTCTCCGTCATTGGTCATTTCCCTGGACCAGCTGGTCTTGGGCCCTTCCCCTTTCAGCAGCCTTTGTTCGCATACCATTTTGTTCTCACTTTCCCATTTGGCCAGGCTCTGGAAGGCAGAAAGGAAGGAAGGAGGAGATCAGTGCAGCCGCCAGAGAGAGGCGTTTTCAATAACAAAGCCCCCGCCATCAGGCAGGGCTCGTCCATCATGCGCTAGGCGGGCCCAGCCCCTGACAAGAGGGAGGCAGGCAATTTGTTCCACACTCCAGTGCGGCCTGACTGTTGCCTGAGCTCATCCATCATTGGGAAGGATGCTGGGAAGTGCAATGCCGAACAGCAAGGAAGAAAGCAGCCCCCACCCCTGGCGGGGGAAGGGGATAGACTGCTAGCTGCAGTGGTGTGTGTGTGTGTGTGTGTGTGTGAGTGACAGTGAACAACTGCAGTCCAGAGTGTGTGTATGTGTGTCCCATAATGAGATGGAATCCAGGGGTGTGTGTGTGTGTGGGTGTGTGTGTGTGAGTGACAGTGAACAACTGCAGTCCAGAGTGTGTGTATGTGTGTCCCATAATGAGATGGAATCCAGGGGTGTGTGTGTGTGTGGGTGTGTGTGTGTGAGTGACAGTGAACAACTGCAGTCCAGAGTGTGTGTATGTGTGTCCCATAATGAGATGGAATCCAGGGGTGTGTGTGTGTGTGGGTGTGTGTGTGTGAGTGACAGTGAACAACTGCAGTCCAGAGTGTGTGTATGTGTGTCCCATAATGAGATGGAATCCAGGGGTGTGTGTGTGTGTGGGTGTGTGTGTGTGAGTGACAGTGAACAACTGCAGTCCAGAGTGTGTGTATGTGTGTCCCATAATGAGATGGAATCCAGGGGTGTGTGTGTGTGTGGGTGTGTGTGTGTGAGTGACAGTGAACAACTGCAGTCCAGAGTGTGTGTATGTGTGTCCCATAATGAGATGGAATCCAGGGGTGTGTGTGTGTGTGGGTGTGTGTGTGTGAGTGACAGTGAACAACTGCAGTCCAGAGTGTGTGTATGTGTGTCCCATAATGAGATGGAATCCAGGGGTGTGTGTGTGTGTGGGTGTGTGTGTGTGAGTGACAGTGAACAACTGCAGTCCAGAGTGTGTGTATGTGTGTCCCATAATGAGATGGAATCCAGGGGTGTGTGTGTGTGTGGGTGTGTGTGTGTGAGTGACAGTGAACAACTGCAGTCCAGAGTGTGTGTATGTGTGTCCCATAATGAGATGGAATCCAGGGGTGTGTGTGTGTGTGGGTGTGTGTGTGTGAGTGACAGTGAACAACTGCAGTCCAGAGTGTGTGTATGTGTGTCCCATAATGAGATGGAATCCAGGGGTGTGTGTGTGTGTGGGTGTGTGTGTGTGAGTGACAGTGAACAACTGCAGTCCAGAGTGTGTGTATGTGTGTCCCATAATGAGATGGAATCCAGGGGTGTGTGTGTGTGTGGGTGTGTGTGTGTGAGTGACAGTGAACAACTGCAGTCCAGAGTGTGTGTATGTGTGTCCCATAATGAGATGGAATCCAGGGGTGTGTGTGTGTGTGGGTGTGTGTGTGTGAGTGACAGTGAACAACTGCAGTCCAGAGTGTGTGTATGTGTGTCCCATAATGAGATGGAATCCAGGGGTGTGTGTGTGTGTGGGTGTGTGTGTGTGAGTGACAGTGAACAACTGCAGTCCAGAGTGTGTGTATGTGTGTCCCATAATGAGATGGAATCCAGGGGTGTGTGTGTGTGTGGGTGTGTGTGTGTGAGTGACAGTGAACAACTGCAGTCCAGAGTGTGTGTATGTGTGTCCCATAATGAGATGGAATCCAGGGGTGTGTGTGTGTGTGGGTGTGTGTGTGTGAGTGACAGTGAACAACTGCAGTCCAGAGTGTGTGTATGTGTGTCCCATAATGAGATGGAATCCAGGGGTGTGTGTGTGTGTGGGTGTGTGTGTGTGAGTGACAGTGAACAACTGCAGTCCAGAGTGTGTGTATGTGTGTCCCATAATGAGATGGAATCCAGGGGTGTGTGTGTGTGTGGGTGTGTGTGTGTGAGTGACAGTGAACAACTGCAGTCCAGAGTGTGTGTATGTGTGTCCCATAATGAGATGGAATCCAGGGGTGTGTGTGTGTGTGGGTGTGTGTGTGTGAGTGACAGTGAACAACTGCAGTCCAGAGTGTGTGTATGTGTGTCCCATAATGAGATGGAATCCAGGGGTGTGTGTGTGTGTGGGTGTGTGTGTGTGAGTGACAGTGAACAACTGCAGTCCAGAGTGTGTGTATGTGTGTCCCATAATGAGATGGAATCCAGGGGTGTGTGTGTGTGTGGGTGTGTGTGTGTGAGTGACAGTGAACAACTGCAGTCCAGAGTGTGTGTATGTGTGTCCCATAATGAGATGGAATCCAGGGGTGTGTGTGTGTGTGGGTGTGTGTGTGTGAGTGACAGTGAACAACTGCAGTCCAGAGTGTGTGTATGTGTGTCCCATAATGAGATGGAATCCAGGGGTGTGTGTGTGTGTGGGTGTGTGTGTGTGAGTGACAGTGAACAACTGCAGTCCAGAGTGTGTGTATGTGTGTCCCATAATGAGATGGAATCCAGGGGTGTGTGTGTGTGTGGGTGTGTGTGTGTGAGTGACAGTGAACAACTGCAGTCCAGAGTGTGTGTATGTGTGTCCCATAATGAGATGGAATCCAGGGGTGTGTGTGTGTGTGGGTGTGTGTGTGTGAGTGACAGTGAACAACTGCAGTCCAGAGTGTGTGTATGTGTGTCCCATAATGAGATGGAGTCCAGGTGCGTGTGGTGTCACACCAAGTGACTGTAATCCAGAGAGACAGAGAGTGTGCAACAGTGTGCTGCAGTCCAGACGTATGTGTCTGACGTTTGTTCCGTGTGTGCGTGTCTGCAACACACCAAGCTGCAGACTGGCAGCTGCAGTCCAGACGTATGTGTCTGACGCTTGTTCCGTGTGTGTGTGTCTGTAACACAACAAGCTGCAGACTGGCACCCGAGGGGTGTCGCACAGCATGAGCTGCAGTTCAGGGGTCGGTATATGTCAGACTGAGTAAGCTGCCCCTTTAAGGCTATGTCTACACTGCGGCGCTATTTTGGGATACTGGAGGTATCCCAGAATAACTATTCCGCATCTTAGAGCACGTCCATTATATCGAAATATAACGGGCTCGCTGTTCTGACGTCCCTGTAAACCTCATTGCACGACGGTTAAGCGTCATTTCGGAATAGCGCCTTATTTCGAAATAAGTGCTGTATAGACAGCACCAAATTTCAAAATAAGCTATTTTGAAATTACCTCGAAATAAGCGACACAATTTGTATAGCGTAAATTGCGTCGCTTATTTCGAGGTCATGGTGCTGTGTAGACATAGGCATAAACCAAGAGCAGGTAGCATGGAGTGAGGGGGGAGAGGAGGTTATGTGACAAAATTCTCCCTGGACCTCATGGCAGGGCAGCCACCGGCAAAGGTCAGCCGTCCCAGGGAAAGAAGCCGAGCCAGGACACTGTGGGGAACACCAGGAACCCAACAATAGGCCGGATAGATGAGGAGAACAGTAAACACCCTTTGTTTTCGTCCTGGCATGGAGCGCAGGGGCCGTGCAGGGTTACAACGGGGCCGGGGGGAGAGGCTGTGGCGGGGGGGCGGAGAGGGCAGACAAATACCAGCTGGCATCGGGCCAGGCTCTGTAGAGTCTCTCCTGCATCTATTAAGGAGGAAAGTCTGCTCTGGTATTTATTTGCGTGGAGCTAGGAAGATAATGGGACAGGACACCTTGCATTGGGGCTTCTGCAGCATCAGCTTATGACCCGTCGTGCTCCCGGGCAGCGCTTTTATCCTCCACCGGGACACTATCTTGTGATACGTCACCCTAACCGCGGATCCCTACGCCACTTCCACGGATACCCAAGGGACTATTTTACCCATCTTCTCTAGGGGCACGGCTAGACACCCTCTTTTTTCGGAAAAAGCTACGCAAATGTGCTCCGCATTTTGTGTAGCTTTTTCCAATTATTTTGTCAGAAGAGGCTTTTCTGACATTTGGCCCATCTAGACTGGGCCAAATGTCGGAATAAAGCCCTCTTTCGGAAGCCCCCCTTATTGCTAGTGGAATGAGGAATACAGGGGCTTCCGAAAGAGCACGCTGGCTCTTCCGCAAATAAAAGCAGAGGAGCATATGCGTTCCATAGATATGGAACAGTTTTTAAAACTGTGGGCTACGTCTAGACTGGCATGATTTTCCGGAAATGCTTTTAACGGAAAAGTTTTTCGTTAAAAGCATTTTCGGAAAATCGCGTCTACATTGGCAGGACGCTTTTCTGCAAAAGCACTTTTTACGGAAAAGCGTCCATGGCCAATCTAGACGCGCTTTTCCGCAAAAAAGCCCCGATCGCATTTTTGCGATCCGGGCTTTTTTGCGGAAAACAAATCTGAGCTGTCTACACTGGCCCTTTTGTGCAAAAGTTTTGTGCAAAAAGACTTTTGCCCGAACGGGAGCAGCACAGTATTTCCGCAAGAACACTGACAATCTTACATGAGATCGTCAGTGCTTTTGCGGAAATTCAAGCGGCCAGTGGCTGGCAAGTTTTTCCGGAAAAGCGGCTGCTTTTCCAGAAAAAGTGGCCAGTCTAGTCACAGCTGTGTAGTCTAGACGTACCCTAGCAGAAGTGAAGGCTGAGCAGTGGTAGAGGATGTGGTCATTATGGGACAGACTCGGCCCTGCTGCTTACGAGATGGGCTGCCATCTTTAGGGTTGCCAGATGGTTTCAGAAAAAATACCAACAACAACAACAAAAACACCAGGAAAAGTTTGTTGAAAAGTTTGTTGAGAAACCAAAAAAAAAAAAAAAAAGACACTGTGGCCCCTTTAAATACCACGTGAGGCTTTTCGGCCCTAACAGGCTGCCATCTTGCCTCCCTGCGCCAAGTCAGACAGCCCTATGGAACCCAGTAAGCACTAGGGTTGCCAGGCTGCCTCCGGTATTGAGCCGAACAGCCTGGGATTTTCACCTCCTGGCTGGGAAAAAAAATCAGAAAGTACCGGACATTTTAGGTGTCCGTTTTTTTCTGCATTTTTTAACCAGACAGGAGGCGAAAATACCGAACTGTCCGGTTCAATACCGGACACCTGGCAACCCTAGCCATCTTGCGACTCAGTGCTCCACCCCCGCCTCTCCAGGGTGTATCTGCCCCACCGGCAGGATTACCAGAGGGACTATTTTCTCTCACCCCATTAGCAGAAGCAAAACCGTAACAAAGACTGAGCCACAGAGAAAAATGTGACACTCGTGCTACCGGCTCAGGCCTGAGCTTCCCTGACTTCTCTCCACCTTCCTCCCAAATAAAACAAACAGGGCTGAACTCCAAAATGCCTGAAGCAGCTCGCCCTACCTTGCAGGGGCGCCCATCCACAGTCTGCTCCTCAAACTCTTCCCCGATCTTGAAGTTGATCTCGGTGGTGCGCACCGTCGTGAAGGTCTTGATATAGAAGGTCTCGCCGTCTTGCTTGATCTCCACGGCCGGCTTGGAGGCTGCAGCCACCGCGATCTTCCTCAGCATCACGTTGACACCTGCCAACGAGACGCCGTCAGGCCACCTCGGGGAGAGTTTGGGGAGGAAAGAGGAACAAGGCGCCCGCTGGGAGATTGGGGGTGGGACTCCCATTTTCACAGCCCTCAGGATGCTGTGGATAAACTGGGCTAGGGGATAAAGCACCAGCATGGGACTCAGGAGATCAACTTTCAGTATCCCAGTGCTGCCACCAGCTAACATTCTGCCACTCTGTGCCTCAGTTTTCCTCTATGTAAAAATAAGAATGATAATGCTTCTTTGTCTGGTCAGACAGAACTCCTCAGGACAGGTGCTGACTTTGTACAGTGCCTGGTATCAGTATTCCCTGTATGCTGGGCGCTGGTGTGGCCACTCAAGTGCCACCCAGCTGATTAGCAGAGCACTGGGGTTTTGTTTCTACAGGTGGTGCACATTCCCTCATGCCTCGGTGCACAGAGAACAATTTATTCCTCAGCTGGATGGAAAAGATAAGAGGGAGCATTGCCCGGCATGATGGGGCCTTGGTATCACTTGGGGCTTCTAGGAGCCATGGTTATACAAATTGTTAGGGGGCCAGAACTCACATGTACTAAAGTGTGTGGGTTAAATCCTTCCCCTAGGTGAGAAAGGGCAGCCTGAGCTTTAGAGACCCAGTTGAGATCCCAGATAAGCCCCCACGTGGATTTGAACCTGGGACCTCTGTATAGGAGCCTCTACCCTTTGAGCTAAAAGACAGCTGGAGACAGATAGGAGAATGTGCAGCAGAGGGTTTAGGACACACTGTTGAGCAGTTCCAAAACTCTCCAGTAGGGGGCAGTGGTAACCCCCCCTTCCCCCCAATAGCAGCTTTGTTACAGGAAAAAACCTGAGAAAAGGTGGCAATGTGGGGGAAACAATGCGGCAGGAGACAGAATTCTTGTAGCCCCTGTTACTTAATCGGCGCAAGAGCCAGAGTGGGGGAAACACGAGAAGCCTCCCAGCCTGACAAAGACAACAAGGGGGAGCCAGTCCTAGACAAAGGGATGTCATCTTCCTTTGAGGACAGCGCTACAGGAGAATGAGGCCTTTGTTAGCCTGCCGGGCAGAGCTGGTGGTGGGAACTCGCGCAGCTTGCGGGACGTGGGAGAACATTTGCCACCCCCTTGCTTAGATCAATGGTGGTGGGAACTCGCGCAGCTTGCGGGATGTGGGAGAACATTTACCACCCCCTTGCTTAGATCCGGGCAGATAAAGAGGGATTCCCTACTCCTGTCTAGACAGGTAAAGAAGGAACCTTTCCTCCTACCCCATACAGACAAGTAGGGACTGATCCCTGGCTCAGGCTCCCGCATTTCCCAGACTTAAAGAGGGAAGATAAATGTCGGGAAACATTCAATCATGTCCCACCACATGGCAGGGCTAAGGTTTTTTGGTGCGGACCAGGACTTAGGATAAGCGATGTGTCACCCCCACAGCTGTGTAAACACCATGGAGTCACACCTGCTTTGCACAGGATAGGCAGTGTGGCCTAGTGAGCCACCCGTGGGCCTGTGACACAGCAGAGCTGGATTCTGGGCGTGACACTGAGCCGGTAAGTCCCTGCTCTGTGCCTCAGTTTCCCCATGTGTAAAAGCGAGGTAATGGAACTAACCCCCTTTGTGAAATGCTTTGAGATCGCCAAACACTCAGAGCGAGGGGATGTCGTTAGAGCATCAAGCCATCTGACCCTCTCTAGCCGCAGGGATGTTTCGTTGGCGTGAACTCAGCTCAGAGGTTAAGTGACTCTCCCAGGCGCATAGCAGGGAAGTAACGATCTCTCCCGCGGGGAATGTTTTATTGTTTCTGAAAAGGCTGTTTTGAAACCTGACGTTGTTCCAACTTCTAGCACTGCCAATTCTGCCTTTATTTTATTTTGGGGCTCCTCAATTGCTTGATGCCAACAGAGATGGCTGTGATTTTATTAAGGGTGTGGTGAGGGTTCAGCTTCTTATAAAAATTGCTTCATGATGTGAAGTCACAAAAATAACAATTCTGGCATATGACAGAGCATCTTTTATCCGGCATGAACTCAGGGTAATGGATATACTTGGATTGCTTCACTCGCCAGTGTGCTGGGGCAATGTCTGGGGGAGGGAACATGACAGCTGTTGCACAGCATGCAGCAGTGTGACCTAGGGGTCACTCAGCTCACACGGAAATGCAGCCACTTCTGGGGTGGGCCATGACCAAGCTTTAACAGCGCACAGCAACACCACGCTGCACAGCCATTGAGTGGAAAGTAAAATATGCCATACCGGCAAAATTCCAGGGGGAATTTTAGGGCCACCTGGACAGCCACTGGGCCTGGCATTTGACAACAAAATTTGTGAAAAGAGCTGTATAGAAGATACTCAGTAGCCAGAAGCTGTATGGGACTTGTTTTACATTGCACCATGGAACCTGCAGTAGCACAGCGCCCCCTAGCATTAAGCTGGGGCATTGACACACAAGGAAGCACGCCCCCTACTGAATCACCCACCCTGCTCCCTGCGGCACAGCGCCCCCTAGTGCCTCTATGCTCACTGACGACGAAGACACACCCGAGAGCTCAGACTAAGATGGAGAACAAAGAGCTTTCTAGACATTAATCCTTTTTGCCTTGTGAGGGAGGGAAATGGTGCCATCCCCATTTTACAGAGGGGGGAAACAGAGGCAGCAAGTGGTCAAGGCCCAGATTTTCAGAAGCCTCCTCTTACACTGAGCGCTGGGCCTGAAGCACACGGGGCCAGACTCTGGGAGGTATATGGAGTGACAGGTGTTGTGCAACCTGGATAAAACCAGCGTCTAACCTTGGGCGCCCTACAAGAAAAGGGACTGATTCTTGGGGCTCACCCAGATGAGCCCGGGGACAGCTGGTGCCAATGAGGAGCTGACCCGGAAAAAGGGACTGATTCTTGGGGCTCACCCAGATGAGCCTGGGGACAGCTGGTGCCAATGAAGAGCTGACCCAGCCCCCAAGACGGGCCAGGAGATGCTCTTTGGAAAATGCAGCCCGGTCGCATTGAGACCCAATCACCAGTTTTTTCCAATGAAGATTCTGAACTGGCCCTGCTCATTAGGGCTTAACCATCATACGATCCACCAGCAAACAGCGTTTGAGGCAGGAGCTTTGATATCCCGAGATCCAAGCTCCAGGCATTCCCCTCCTGAGTCCTCCACTCCAGTCCCCTCGTCTCACACCACGTTGATCTGTCATTCCCCTGGGTTCCTGCCATATTGCAACAGACTCTTTACATGCCCTGGGCTTGCCTATACTAGGGATGGAAATGGGTAACCAGTTAACCAGTTACCCGGTAGGCAATCTTACCGGGTGATGCTTACCAGTAACCAGTTAACCAGAGCCCAACCCAGCCAAGCAGCCCCCTCGGCACGGGCGGTTAACCAGTCAAACATATTGTTTAACTGGTTAACATTTTAAATGGGATTTAACAGCCCTCGTCTATACAGGGAAATTGACCGTCCTCCAAGCAATTTTTATTCCAGGATAATTTCTGCACTTTGGGAGTGAAGTAAACTAACCCAAATTAAGGCTAATTTTATCCTTAGAGAACCTGTAACCTGGTTTAAACATCCACCTTTAGTAAGCTTTATTTGCAGGGGGTCATTCATGGGGGTTATGTGGCATTTGGTAGGGCATTGCCCAGTCTCAAGATACTTGTAGCTCTTCTTAAATCCCCAGCCCCCGGAGTCCTGTGATAACATGAGACTTGGACCTGATCTACACTCCACGCTTAGGTCAACCTGTCTAGCCGGTAGTGCAGATGCAGATAGGACAATAGAAGAATGCTTCTGTCAACCTAGGCATGCTTGCTGAGGGAGGCAGGAAAACAGGAATTACACGTGTAGCTGCATGTTGCAGTGAAAAACCGGCTGTGTCCAGACTTCTCTCTGTGACACATGGCTACATGCCACTGGGAAGACTGAGACAGTGTAGAAAGGCTCCGACAGCTCCCTGCTGTATCTGGCTCTTTTTTGAACCCTGTTAAAGTCCTGGTCTTCCCGACATCCTCTGGGTCTCAGCCCCGTTCCTTTGGGGGAAGAGTCCTCGGGCCTGCTATGAACAGTCCCTCAGCAGATGGCTGGGGGCTTCCCAGGGCTGGGACCGGGGGCAAAGCCATGCAACTGATGCCTTTGCCCCTGTTATGACAGGGAGGAACCGAGACCCTGCGCTGCCCATGTGGCAACACAAAACCCACTTCACCGATGCACCAAAGAATATCTGCACAAATGGAGAAGGGGGTGGGTGCGGGTGGGCTTTGGAATTTAGGATCTGCCCCTGGACACACAGCCTGCAGCTGGAGCCAGGGGATGACAGGACCAGATCCAACATCTCCGAGCGCAAAATGCTCGCTGTCCACACCAGCCACCCTGCTGCAGAAACTGGCCCCATTCCAGATGCCTTCAAGAGGCTGCGTTTCCCTTCGGGCTGGGGCAACCCACTGGGGAAGGCAACAGCTTCAGGGTACATTCCCTCGACCCCCATCTGGCTGACAGCTGGTCCTTTGTCACCCGGCATGGGGGGAGAGAGGTCTGATCTGACAGCCTGCTCCGGAGGGCGAGTCACTAGCAGCTCGGGGAAGTCAGGGTGAGGGAGGTGGAAGGGGCAGTGTGGGACACAGGATCATGGACACTGACAATGGAGAAGGGTTTGGAAAGGGTGATTGTCTCTCCCTCTGTCTCTTGGGTTAGGGGCAAGGGAGGGCAAGACAGAGCCAGATCCCCAGCAGGCGTAAATCAGAACAGCACCCGAGCAGTGAAGAACCAGGTTCCCATAAGCAGAAGGGCTTGAGACGCTGAGGGTTGTAAGCAGCCTGGAATATCCTCCACATTACTTTGCTGCCTGCATTGCTGGCAGCAGCTTGGGAAGCAAGGGGAGCAAGGAGCAATTAGAGTCCAATGAGGCGGGAGCTCTGACTTCTAATCCCCTCTCTGCTGCTGACTGACCATACGGCCTTGAGCCCATCACCTTCCCCCTCCCCGTGCCTCGATTTCCCCTCGGCCT